AAGATGTGCATGAGGATTTGTTATGTGCACTATCTTTGCCAGCCAACACCACAGGAGCAGAACTGTTCAAGTCACTGGATGGTTATATATCAAGACAACTAAAATGGTCCTTTTGTGTAGGCTTATGCATAGACGGAGCTGCTGCTATGACCGGACGTCTATCTGGTTTAACTGCTCGGATTAAGGAAGTTGCACCTGAGAGTGAAGCTACACATTGTCTCATTCACAGGGAAGTGCTAGCAAGCCGAAAAATATCACCAGAATTTAACAGCATATTGACTGATGTCGTTAAAGTTATTAACTACATCAAAGCACACGCCCTTAACTCGCCCCTGTTTGAGCAGCTTTGTGAGGAGAAGGACGCAGAGTACAGATGCCTTCTGTTATACACAGAAGTAAGATGGTTATCCAGAGGAAAATCGCTACTGAGAGTATTTGAATTGCAAGAGCCATTGCAAAGATTTCTCTTAGAAAAGAAGTCACCGCTGGCAACACATTTCAGTGACAAGGTATGGGTCACCAAACTGTCTTACCTGTGTGACATATTCAACCTGCTAAATGAACTCAATCTGTGCCTTCAGGGGAAAATGACAACTGTTTTCAAGTTGGCTGACAAAGTAGCTGCCTTTAAAGCCAAACTGGAGTTATGGGGACGACGCGAGAACAGAGGCATTTTCGACATGTTTCAGACATTAGCGGGTATTTTAGACGAGACAGAGCCTGAATATTCTTTCTCCCAGTTTGTTCACGATCACTTGTCTTTGCTTTTAAAAAAGTTCGAGCGCTACTTCCCAACCGCAGAAGACCCACGAACTGGTAAGGAATGGATCCGCGACCCATTTGCCAACAAATCGGGTGAATCTAGCTGGTCAATGCAAGAAGAAGATCAACTGTTGGAGATCGCAAATGACGGCGGCCTTAAAACTACGTTCGAAACAACAACTCTGCCGGTGTTCTGGATTAAAGTCTTGGCAGAATACCCCAAGATTGCCACCACAGCACTTAAATCCCTATTGCCATTTCAAATAACCTATCTGTGTGAAGCGGGATTTTCTGTAGTAACAGCAACCAAAACAAAGCAACGGAATAAACTGGAGATAAGCAACACACTTTGGGTGTCATTGTTTCCGATTACCCCCAGATGGAGCTGTCTTATTGCAAAGAAACAAGCTCAGGGTTCTCATTGATGTAACGTTCAAGTAAGTTAAAATGTTAAATCACTTTATTTTTTAGTGTAACTGTATTTTATTTTAAAGGTATGTTTGAATACAATTAAGTTAAAATTATAAAATCAAAATAATCTAAAATATAAACAATCAATGCCCCCCCCCTCAGTGGGCCGTGGTAAAATTATCAAACATTGACAGTTCCGCAGTGATAAAAAGGTTGGGGAACACTGATGTAGATGATGTCAAGTGAACTGTTGACCAAGTGCAACAGATCATACTCGATTTATATCATAGTAATGTTATCTCCACTAGCTCCCCAAGGCGTGTTCCTTAGTGGTCTTCCGAGCTTAGTAAAATCTTAAGAAATCTAGGAAGTTATTTAACAGGGCATAGAAATCAGGTGAATGGCGGTCCCACCGAAACGCTCTAACTACCTATAATAAGGCTATTAGAGCTGCTAAATGTCGCTTTTGGCAGACTTTCGGCAATGGTATTAACACAATTCCTGCCAACCGCAAAGGTTGCAAAAATTCTTACAAAAGACTATAGTTGCAACCTTAATGCTATCTGTCTTACAAACGGAAAATATAGTGAGTCAGGGAAAGAGGCTCTAGGTAAATAATTTGAAGCTCACTTCCCTGGATCTCATCCTGTAGAAAATGAATATCTTTACAATAATCATACAACTACTTGCAGTAAAAATGACTGGGAGGCCGTCAAAATGATCTCCTATGAAAATGTTATAGCCTATGGGCTATTAAATCTTAGAGCTCTATAAGCCACTAGGAATAGATGACATCATGCCCGTAATTTTTATTAAGGGGATTGACATACTAGCCCCTACTCTATGTAGGATCTTTTGAGCCTGTATAGCCTTTGGGTATACACTTCATTTTTGGAGGAATACCAGGGTAATTTTCATCCCAAAATCAGGTAAGGACAATTACTTTGAGGCTAAATCATTTAGACCAATCAGCCTCGCCTCATGTCTGTTGAAAGTCATTGAAAAGTTTATTGACAGATATTTTAGGCTCTCTACTCATTAATAAGCCACTGTCCTCCTCACAGCATGCTTATTAACTTGGCAAGTCAACAGACTCTGCTCTATATGAGCGCTCCTTCATCTTTGAGAAAACACTCTCAGATAAAGAGATTGCTCTGATGGTATTTATTGATATTGAAGGTGCTTTTGACAGTCTCTGTTGAGACTATCATCAAAGCTTAGACATGGGTTATCTAAATATAACTATCTACATTTGCTCTCACAGTCAGGCTGCTCTTCTATCACTAACAAGGTGTAAATAGACCTATTCTCTAGTGTGGAAGAGCTTCTTGGTCCTTTGTGACCCTCCTACTCGTAACAAGGTATACCTACCCTGGGTGTCTGGATATATGGGTATGCTAATGAGCTGGCCGATGAATTAGCACAGGCTAGCTCCATGCAATTTTCTGGAGCCCTAAACAAGCTTTAGGAATTTCTCCCACATCCTTCAGAGCATCTGTATTCAAACCCTATGACAAACTTGCCCAAGAGCAATAGCTCAACTTGGATGGTCAGAGTCAGGCTAAAGAGCTGAATCGTGACAGTCCCAGCGTGTGTCAAAAAGAGCTTCTTAAGCTTAACAAGAACAGTTTGAGAAAGATCATTAGTCTTTTCACTGGACACTGCACCCTCAGGCGACACCTATACATAATGGGTGTAATATCTAATCCTCTTTGTAGAGGTTGGCATCTTGAGGAGGAGACTTCACGACATATACTTTGCGTTTGTGAGGTCTATTCTGCTTAAATATTTGAGCATTTAAGGCAAAATTACATTAAAGTCTGGGAACAGCAAGATATTCCTGTCAGGTGTTTGCTGAACTTTATTTCAGCTATAAAGCTTTCTTGCTAATCATGATTTAGGGTTTGGATACAATAGACCTCTGGTCGATGTGCCCTGCTCTTTGGAGCTGCCCAACTTCTAAGTGTAATGCAGGCATAAATACAAACATGTGTTTAGAAGCACTGCATGAAGTAATCAAACATATTTATATTGAAGGTGGAAAATGTAAGAGGCTTGATGCACATCTGCTTCAAATTGTAACAGATAAAACATGGGATTGTTGCGTGAAATTAAAGGAAAAAATTCTACTAAGATTACAGTTATTTATATCTGGCATAGAAAAAGCTCAGTTTTTTCAAAAGAAGATATTGAACGAAACAGAATTCTCAAAAGTTTTCAGGTTATCTAGAGTAAAATTCAAACAGTTCAATGTACTAAAAAAATTAGGCGTAGCATGAGGAGAACACACTTTATGTTTTTAGAAAACTGCTTGTTTATTTTAAGTTTCATACATACATTTATATATAAATAGACATACATAAACGAAATAAATATGCATATATTCATAAAATTTAAAATAAACAGTTTTCTTGAAATAAAGTGTGCCCCCTCTCACACTACACCCTATGATTAGAATCTAAGTTACTATTAAAAATTATTTAGATTACGGATAATAAATAATTTATACAAGATTTAGACACTTTAAAAATATTGCAAATTTTATCACAAATTGTGAATTTTACTAAAATTTTGCCATTAAACAAGTAAGCTTATAATTTTCTTTTCATATCTATTTGATACATTTATGATTAATTTTATTAGTCTCAATACATATAGCTACATTAGTTTTCAAATGCGCTTATTTGCCAAATATTTTAAAAACTTAAAGAAATGGCTGATCAGTAAATAGAAAACAATAATGCAGTTAACTGAAATTTTTAAAAAAAAGCACTGATGGCAAAAAAATAGAAAAAGTATTATTGGCATTAAGTTTTTAAAAGTATAAGTTTATATTAAATACTATAACTGTAGACAGTATTTTGTTTTGATTATGCTAGCAAATGCTTATACTGTATGCAATTAAACAAATATTTCTTCGAATAATTAAAATTGTGAAAAATAATAAAGACAGAATTCAATTTAAGCACAGTTGAATGGTAAGTTCTATTAGAATCAAAGTCATTTTGGAATAAAGAGTGAGTTTCAAATAAATCGTTAACATTACTTAAGTTCATGTGATAAAATAACATCGCATATTTAAAAATATTGGAATTAAAAAAAAACATGCAAACATGAATCACAAAACAATTGTAAAACTAAGTATATATACGACAAAATCAAATGTGTTAAAAATGGTAACTTAAATTTTAAATTCGCGTGAAGTAACATCAATAGTAAAAAATCATTAAAAATCAAGGGCTGAAAAAATTCCAAATAACTACCAACATCAAACATCACAAAAAACATCCAACATCGTAAAATTACATGACAAAAAGTGATAACTTAAATTCGTATGACAAAATAACATCTTATTTTAAAAATATCGGATTTTTGAAAAGAAAAAAAATAGCATAGTAAAAAAGTTAATATTTTATTCACACTTTTTCTTTTAAAGAATAAGTAAGAACTTTTAAGAGTGCTTAATTTTTATGCAGCAAAATTAAGCTTTATTGAGCACTTTTAAGGTGCGCTTGAACCCTATTGAAAAAGAAAATTCAATTCAGGAGAAATACACAAAATTTCATGCTCTGGGCAGCTCCACAGCAGATAAGAAAACGAAAGTTAAGATAGATGATAAATAAAATCATTCCTTGGCATTGCTACATTTCAACAGGTATTCATTTGAAAGTGATAGTTCCTATTTTTCATTACATATTCAATCTTCTTCTATGCCCCACCTACTTAGGTGAGTCGTTCATTACTAGCGCATTACCAAATGTGAAATCTTTCTTTTAAAGGAAAAGGGAGAAAAATTGCGAAATGCAAATAAAAAAAAATTTACTCACGCTGAGCCCTGATTGTAACAGACTTATATTCCTTTTTTCCCTACAAAATATAAAAAGTCCTACATTCTAAAATCGATTCATTTGACCAATACATTTTTTTAAACAAAATTTTTGATTTCAGCATTTAGCAGCCACTGAAGATCTTTTTTATTTTTTATTCAGTATTTATTCATTATTTACCAACAATAAAATTTATTTAAAACAAGATTCTTTTTTGATTATTTATTTAATGAATCATATTTTTTACACAATGCAATCAGGAATGCAGAAAACATCTGGAGGGACTGTTATTATTTTCCATTTTTTTTAACCAACAAATAAGTGTATTAAAGAATAAGACGGTTCCTTTATTTTTTTGGAAATTTCAACTAAAATTTCCTTAGACAGTGATTGGGAATAGGAAAATTGAACAGCATTTATATTCTTAATAGTGAGAATTACATAATTTTTTTTTTATTACACATTATTCTAATCAGATGTTTTCAAATATCAAAAAAATATATATAAGTGTTCATTTACATTCTAAAATTACGAACTATTGATAAAAATAGCAAAAAAAATTTAAAAAATTTAAAATCAAAAAATATTATTTCAGAATTATTTAAATAAATTTTAGGGTACAAAAAGTTTATAATTAAATTTGCTTAGGAATATGTAAAAAATTGCAGAATTTTTTTACTTAAGTTAGTTATTGTTTTCCTACTTTATTACTTACTGTAGTTTTTGTAAAATTCTTTGAGAAAACTTTACTATTGCATGCAAGTACAATAAAACATGACAAATTACATTTTTTTCACGTAAAAATTTATAGTTCAATTAGATCTGGAGTGCATGGTTGCCTCTCTAGTTTGTTCCTATCTATTGCATTATCAATGTACATTGGGAAAAGCTAATCATACATTTATAATATTTAAATATTTATTTTCAACTAAATATCAAGAACAAGAACAAAACTAAAAAAGAAAGATTATACATTAGAAATCATTATAATAACAATAATAAAAAATAATAATAATTTTAAATGTACCTCAGAAGCTAATATGTCCGTATTACTACTAACAATTGCAATTATTTTTCCCCTCTAGCTTGGAATAATTAGACTGTCAAGTATACCGTCAGAAGTGAATGCAGATGAGAAAGAAATGTTGATGCTATTTGACAGAGCTGCATTTCAGTTCCTAGAATATATTAAGAGTAAAACTGTTACATTTCTTATTACACAAAATTGATTAGAAACAGGAAGTGGCATGAATAGAAACCCTGAACCTTTTTATCCAAAAAGACAATTTTTATCTTAAAGTCTTGTAAAATAATATATATATCTTTCAGGTAATGTTTATTTTAATGGAATAAAAATCATGGTCTGGAATGGAACCTTAGTTTTTTTGGTCTTTAATTTAGAAAATTTAAAAAGAAAAAAAAATTATGCTAATTTTATGTGTTTTAGAAAAGTGTTTTTAACTCTTTGTCTGTGAAATATATTTGAGAAAAACATGCCAAAAATGGAGGGAAAAAATCTCTTTCATTTTGTTTGTTATTATCCTCAAAATGTTAGAAATAGATTTTAAAAAAAAAAACTAAGTTTTAAATATAACAACTACTATATTATATATTTTCACATATATGGGAAATGGTAATAGAGTAGAAAATTTTTGCTCAAATTATAATAAAATAAATCAAATGACATAATTTTTAAGATAAATATAATAAATTAGTACAGCAATATCATTATTTATTTCAACTGTCATGAATTACATGTTTCCTGATTCTTAGTCTCAAGACAGACCCTTACAATTTTTCCAGAAAAGGGTAACACTCATCCATGTTTGATGTCACCATATTCTGATTTATAGTAACCTTAAAACTATACATGAAAATAATTGTAGTTTTGCAAACCCATATACTCCATCAGTTTGAATATAAGACAATGAAGCTGAAATAATTAGTCAAGGTAGGACATATTTTATTCTAGCGCAAAATTTTTAAGAAAATTTTGGTAAAAAGGGACACTTTTAGGCAGTTAAAATATATTTGCTAAAAGAAGTGTTCAATTAGGAGAAAGACATATAAATTCAGAAATTGCTAATACTTGTAACACCTTGTAAGCCAATGCAGTACCTCATGTTTGGCTAACACATATAACTGCACAAGAAATAGTAGAAAAACAAGAAACTTTACTTACAGTTTAAGCATTTATCTAAATAGTAGATAGTTATTTGACATCAACTAAGACATTTGTTAACGACTGCCATCAACTGCTACAGACATACAATAGATAGAGCTCTTTACATATTATGGTTTCTCACATCTAGTGGGAACCTCCGACAGCATCCGTGGCGACTAGGGCATATTAGTCAGCATGATCTGATACCAGCTGGTTCCATCACAATGCTAGGTTGCTGTCGACCATCTTTACAAAATAATAATATCATGTTAGCGAATGAAGTTCTCAAGTGAAAAGTAAAGTGCACGAGTATCAGTAACCTATCCATATTTATCCTTTAATCTGATTTACATATGATTGATGCATTAATATTAAGCATTTAGTGATTGATGCCAACAACTAAATGCTTAATATTAACTATTAAATCAATAGGAAAGATAAATATATACCAATTGTGCGCTCCTGACAAATATTGCAGAAGATATATGCTAATAGATAAGCTACAAAGTGTCAATCCAACCTGTTTCTCTAATTTTCCTAACATAACAAAAGCTTAAATTCTTTAATAAATTAATCAAAATCAGTTACTTAATTACTAAAATTAATTAATTAGTATATTCGGAGTACAAATTAGTTCGGCCCATCCTCAAAAGATGGCTCTGGCTGTTATGAATGTTTCATAGGGACAACTGGTTTCGGTGGTTTCAGAGAGGTTAGACATCTGTCAGTAGTATTCAGTTTATATTGCTTTGAATTTCATACAAAAACCCTGTTTTTCACTTTGTTGAATATGTCAAATTCTGTGGTAACAAAGCAGCATTTGAGGGAAGTTTAATGTTTCTTCTTTAATTGGAAGAAAAGTGCAGCTGAAGCGCATCGAATGATTGTAGAAGTTTATGGTTACAATGCTCCAACTGATAAATCATGTAAGGAATGGTTTCGACGTTTCAAGAATGGCGAATAGTGAATGAAGAATGGTGTTGCATACTATGAACTGCTACAACCTGGTGATTCCATTACGGTCGATTGGTATAGGCTACAATTGATTCGTTTGAGCAGTGCATTACGAGAAAAACGGCCGGAATACAAGCAGTGACATGACAAAGTTATTCTTCTGCATGATAACAGTCGGTCTCATGTCGCAAAAATTATTTAAAAAAGCTCAAGTGGTATATATTTTACTGCACCCACCGTATTTGCCGGACATTGCTCCTTCTGATTACTGGTTGTTCGGACGGATGCAGCATTATTTGGCAGGTCACCGGTTCACTTCTTTCGAAGAAATCAAAAATTGGCTCCTAATTTGGATCGCCTCAAGTAGTAGCCAGCTATGGACAATACTTTGATTAATCTGTTCATTCATTTTGTTCTTAAATAAATACATTTTTGACCACAAAAAAACGGACCGAACTAATTTGTACTCCCAATAATAAGTTTACCAACAATAAAAAAACCCGCAGCTAACAGTAAATCTATTATTCATTTAAGTTAAGCAGTTACTGAAAAGAGGAAATAAAAAAAAATCAATAAAGAATGCACATCAATTAAATCAAAGAATAATTTTTATATTTAAAACCATGCATTGTGAGTAGAAAAGCAAATTTCAAAAAGGACAAATTAAAACAAACAAAAGAAGACTCAAGTGACAAGTCTGAGATGCAGACTCCAAAATTAAAAGCAGGATATTTTTTATGAACCATGGCATAGTGTAATAGATGAAAATTTCTCACTTCAATACATATATGTTTAGCCAAATTTAATAACTTATAGGTGCTAATTAAAATTGGTTTAAAATAATATATATATTCATAAAACAATTTTTTATAATATTAACCAAGTTTAATCCATAACATTAATAAAAACATATAAATCTAGTAAATATAAGAAAAAACACATAAATCTTTATAAAACTATATTTAGAATCATTATCAAGAACTCTCAGCTGTTTAAGAGAATTCAAAGTGAAAAATTCAAAGCAAGAAACTCAAAATATCGATTTTACAGTCAATAAGTTCTCCAAATGTTTACTTGATAACTGAGAGTCTCTTCGTGACAAGAGAAAAACCCTTTCGCAACTTCCATTGTTATGTGGCAAGATGAAAATTCAAGCATAAATTCACTCAACAGCTTATATTTCTATTAGAGCAATTGTTCACTTTTACCTACTTAATATCCATTCTACTTTCAGCAAGTACACCATTGGGCAAATCTTCCAGTTGAAGAAAGCAAAACTGAATTTCCAATTCATCTAAGAGAGCATCAGAATTTTAATACTTAAAAAGTATTGTCAAAACAGGAAATCTGTCACAGAAAAGCTTTATGCTAGAAAAGGAAGCACTTTCAATCTCATTTAACATTTCAGCATTTATTGAAGGAAATTTGTAAATCGTAAAGTCACAAACTGTTTTGAAATAATTTTTAACTGATTGGAAAAATATCTTTTCCATCTTTATCATGTCTTATGTGGACTTTAATGTGTCCACTATTTTTGATGAAGACTGCCCTATTATTAGATCAGAATCTACCCTCTGATTTTCTTCCACAATTATACTTGGCATCTAGCAAAGAAGTACACATTTTAATTCCAGGAGGAATGACATAATATTTAATAGAGTTGACAATAAAATATAATGAAGTGCATGTATCTTATGAGAGCTTGAATAAATTTGGAATTGGGTTCCACAAATATAGGCTCGTTATTAAAATTATTTATTTTCATTTAATCATAACGCTTTTTCTCTTTCCAGAAAATCAAAAGCTTGACTTTCTTTCCGTTTCAATAGTTTTATGTGTTCTTTATATTCTATTAAAAAAGTATGCTCAAAATTGTGTAAAAATTAATTTTAAAATAATTAATAATTTAAAGGATTGTAGTAAGAATAATACAAGTAATATTTTTATCTTCATGATTATAAACATTTATCTAATTCATTTTCATAATCGGAGTTGAGCTAATTTCTCTACAATTCAGATTCCACAGGCTAATTATTTTGAATTTTTGAATGCAGAACTTATTGAAATGTTAGACAAAAGTTATTGTTTAGTCTATTTATTTTTTTTAGTTAATTTAGATTACAAATTCCCTCTACAACTCAGCTTTTATTTGATTTTTGTATTTACAGATTTCATTTTATTTTAATTTATATATAATTTAAATTATTTTAATATTAGTTTAAATTAATATTAATTAATAAAGAAATAATAATTGCGATAGAAAGGCGGTATTTAGAAAAATTACTAAATGGGAACATTGAATATACTTACTGACTTACCACAGTGAAATAAAATAAATCTTAAAAATATGAGAAAATAACTCACTATCTTACAATAATCAAATTCAAATTTTAGTCAAGCGTTTTTTTTTTTGTTTTTTTTTTTATTGTAAGTGAATTAAAAAAATTTATAAATTGAAAAAAAATATTATTGCAATTTATTAAGGGCGTACAACCTATTTCAATGAAAGGCTGCCTTCCCAAGTATTTAGACATGTTGATGGCAATTATAATTTTTATGTAAACATCAGGCACATTTCTTTTTATCAGTCAACCTAATAATACATTTGCATAAAATTACATTACTTTAAATATTAAAATTCATTCCAGACTAATACTTTCCAAAATAAATAAATTTTCAATTCATCACAAAATAGTTTCATTGAAAAAAATCTAAAGATGGAAAAGAAGTAATGGTTCTTTATCACATCCAATAATACAAAAGTGCATTTTGAAATAAATTAACTGAAATGTTCTTGGATTAAAATAAAAAAAAGGTGAAACTATTTTATTGAGCAACATAAATGCAAATTAAATATTTTAAACAAAGAAATTATATGGGGTTTAAAATGATTTAAAATAAAGCAAATGCAATATAGCTCAAAATAAGATTCAACATTTAGTTGGGATTCACTTCATTATATTTTTAACTTTAGAACATTTATATTTAGTGAATTATGAGAGATTTTATAATTTTATGAACCATTCCTAAAATGGTTTTTCAAGCTCTTTTTCAAGCTACAAAAAATTACAAAGTTTAAAAATAGTGAACATATTAAAAAACCAAACCAAATTTCGCGTGTTATAGTAGTATTGTATCAAAGATATTGCTATTTTAAAAATAAAATAAAAACATTCAAAAACTACATGGATTGACAATGAAATCAATACAAATAGAGTACTTTAAAGGTGATGATTAAAAAGCCTGATTTTAAAATCGCAAGTCGTAATAGCCCTGGTTTAAAAATAACTGGATTTTCGAAGCCTCGTGGAAATGCATAGTTATAAGTGTTGAAAGAATTTAAAAAACCAATGAAAAAATCGTTTAGATTTGTGACAAAATCAGCACACATTGAAATGTACGATTCTAGTATTGTATATACATATTAAAAACATCGGGATTTTTAAAACCATGTAGAAATATGTATTACAGAAAAAACTATAGAAAAATAGCTTGGATTTACGATAAAATTTATACAAATACAACACTGTCGTAAAGTCACTTAGATTAACTATGAAATGGACACAAATAAAGAGCTTCAAAAAGTGATTACTAAAATTCGAAATTCATGCATCATAATTTTGTTTTTTTAAAAATATTGGGATTTTAAATAATGTGGATATTTATAGTGATAACCACCAAAAAATATGATCGAAAACTATTTTGAACTTGACAGGCGCTTTCAAAACTTAATTTTAAAAAAAAAATTTCAAAAAAAATTTTAATAGTTTTTTAATATTGTTATGCTAGGGCCAGCCATACATCAAAAGCTGAGGGGTTGCTGGTTGTGCATCCCTGTAATGTAATGTATTATCTCTGGATCATGCACCCGCAAATATGAAGACCCCCTTGGTCTCATCGCTAGAAAGTGTAAAATTACTGACAACACGAAACCCGAGTTATTTTTATAAGTCCTTTCGTTGAACTCTACCTTTATGCCCGATATTATATTGTTAACGAGATGAGAGATGTTGCTCTTTTCTTGTAGACTTTAATTTGTAATAAAAAAAATTTTGTTTCACGAAATTCTGTTATCAGTTCAATCTGCACTTATGTGAATTAATACAATATTGAACAGTGTTACAGTTTCCCTTTTCTTTTCCACTTTTCAAACCATATCAATGTTTAAATATTTTTAGATAATGCTTTTTAATACAGAAAACCTAACTACATAACTTACTCTCAGCATGACTGACATACTTATCTTCAACTAGATTCACTTTATCCGCCGTCACAACATTGATGATAGTGGCTGAGTTTCTATTGATGATAGTGATTGACGGGCATATTTGGAACTCTTTGCAGTATTTTGCTTATAGCTCACTTATCAATTACCTGGAGTGAGTTAGCGATCGCAGCGATCGAATACGCTATATAGAGAGAAGACCGGTTCCATGGCTTGACCTTTCCCCCTTCCCTCTTTTTAGTTGTATAGAAATGTACTACTACATTTTCCCCTTTCTTGTTATTTTTTCTATTTAATTATCACAAATATTTTTTTAAGTTTCCATGAAGCTTTCTTGTGGAACTATGATCAATTTAGTTTTCAGTTCCATATAGTTTCATAACGTACAAAAACTAATGTACTTCCTTCCCCTATGACTCTCCACACACTAATGGTGAAAGCATTCGAAGTGTTTCCATAAGTAGAAAGTTCTGCTCTACGCCACCTGCAGCACATTTCGATCTCCAATTGCAGAAATGATTGAAGACTGTGACTATCTGATTGTTGTTGCTGTTGTTGTTAATTTACGTCGCACTAGAGCTGCACAATGGGCTATTGGCGACGGTCAGGGAAACATCCCTGAAGATGATCCGAAGACATTCTATCACAATTTTGATCCTCTGTGGAGGGGATGGCTCCCTCGCTTCGGTAGCCCGACGATCTGCGCGCGAAGTCGAGCACTTTACGGTAGCACAGTTTAACGAGGACCAATACCGCACACCCTCGGTCCCTACGCAGACTGATCCAAGTGGTCACCCACCCGCACACTGACCGCAGCCAGTGATGCTTGACTTCGGTGATCTGCTGGGAACCGTGTCTTAACGATTAGTCCACTGCGGGACTGTGACTATCTGAAGTATCCACATGAGTGATGAAAAAAACAGAGCCCCGATGCCAAAGTGTGTGCGGAGTACGGAGTGCTGTTGATCCAAAAGTGGACATTTGAGTATGATGTGTTAAACATCGACAGATTCCCTTGCGTAAAAAATTGAGATATTTTTGAGGTATAAATGAGGAGCTTCTTAAAAGTATAAATAAAGTTGCTATTTAAAATCTTTAATTAGCCAGGTATAATATTTGCACTGATAAAATTTTATAAAATATAACGTTATAAAATTTTTCTAGTAGACAGTGCTTAAGTGTCATAAAAACAGTTAAATATATTTAAAATTTGATTATTTTTAATCTTTCAGTATGATATCGGAAGCAATTTTCCTTTAGCACTCTTTATAGTCTATCTCAAACTTGTGAGTATTTTTATTATCAGCATTGTGTTTATTATTCAAATTTTTTAAATTTTTACATGATTATGTTTGAAATAATATAATTGTAAAATAATTATAATCGTAAACTTAACTTTAAGCTTAATAATATTTACATTATGATAAAAATTCCCAATCAATGTAGAAAAGAATATTGCTTTTAACTTTTATATGAAAGCTCTTGTATATTCTTTGTGAAAACATGATGCACAAAGCCATCTTCCTTTTTTAAAATAAGTCCCGTTTTAGACATTTACATATAATGTTATGTTGGTTTTTACTATGTTCGTAATGCATAATCTCTTATCAGCGAAATTCAAGCAATGAACTTGATTGATTTTGAACAAACATTTTGTGGTAGCAGTATTTTCGTAAAAGTAACTGATGGTAGTCAAGTTTGGATCATTAATACTAAAGGCAACTTATAGTTAAAAGGATGTTATGTTTTTTTTTCGTCTCATTTTTGTATCCAATTAAATGTTTGCGCAAATTTTACTTTGATAAATTACAATATTTACTACTTTTTTTCAGTTTCGAAATTTAAATGTTACCTAAATTTTTTGGCTAAAATTGTTGGTTAGTACATAGTATCTTTAACTAATTATCGAATCGTGAAAAATTTCTGATATGCCAATGTAAAATTATTTTTGCATTAGGAAAAATTATGGGCAAATTCTTTAATTAAAATTCATTAAGGCTTTCCTGGTTCACTCCTTGAAAATATTTCTACGGGTGCCTTTGTATTTTGTTTCTAGTGCTTTGTTTGCTAAGTAAAATTTCAGATTTTAAAAGGATAGCGTTATGTAAGTATTTCTCCATTAAATAACAGTGAAAAAAGAAGTGAAAGAAATTATGCCAGAGTTTTATGCAAGTAAGTAATATTTTTAAATTTTCTTTATTGTCTCAGTTATTACAAAAAAGAGCAATTTAAAAATTCGAGATATAATTTTATTTTAATATGAATGACATGTAGTTATGACATATAGCTATATTTTAAGGAGAGAAAAAAGTGTTTAATATAAAATTTCAACTCAATTCAAATGTAAATTTAACTTAGCAATTTCGTTGTGTGGTTTTTATTATATAATTTCAGAATACAAATATTGAATGATAATTGTGAAATTACAAATTGCTTAAGTTACGACTTTTATAAAGCATGTTTAACGAACTAACAAATTCAATTGAAATTTTGATAAAATAGGCTCATTTTTGAAGAAAAAAGAAGAAGAATACATTTTAAATTCAAAGTCTTGGAAATTATCAATTATATAAAATTCGTCTGAAAACCCATTGTATGAAGAAAAGAGAAAAATGTCAATAAAATTTGCGATATAGTATTTCTTAATTAAATTTGAAATATCCAAAAAAATCAGCTGAACATCAGATATACTTTGGAGTAAGAGGGAGAAAAATGGATGGTAGCAGTATTCGCTAATATAATTTTATTTAGTATTTCTGTACTGCTAAGTAAATAATGCATGGAATGACATAATAAAACTATTCTGTGTTTTACTGCTTCGCAGCAATACAGAAAATTAAATAAAATTATATCAGTGTCAGAAAAACAACCTTGAAAATCACCTCATCAGCGTAGTTGATTTGAAGTGAATATTAAATAACCGCAAAATGAGCAGAAGTGTATGCGAAACAACCTTGTACACCTCTATTACAACCTATACGATGTAGTTGATTTGAATTGAACATTAAACAACCTCAAAATGAGCAGAAGTGTATGCGAAACAACCTTGTACACCTCTATTACAACCTATACGATGTAAAATTTTCATGGTTGTTTTCTCAGCAACATCAAATATACCTCATATATATCTCAAAACAACCTCAAATATACCTTAAATTTTCGTAAGGGCAAGCATCCATCCTCTCATATAAAAAGGGTAACACACGCTCGTGCTTGGATCACTCATTTAAGTTTGTACAAAGTCAAATGTGTGGGACAAACCATCTGTATCTGTTCAATTTTAACAGGTAAGTTTTCTTTCATTCTTTTATATCAGCAATTTTTATATCAAGAGAAAAAAGTTATAAGATAAATTAAAGTTAAAATATTATAAAGTTAAAAGATAGAAAAAAGTTCATTCTCTACTAATCTCTTCAGCTTCGTAGCCGTTCAAAAAGTCCTAGTAACTGTAAAATAAATAATTTAATTTCTAATGAAACAAGTTTCATTAAATTTTTAAATTTCGTGAATCAGGATTTTGATAAATTAATTTAAATAACTTTAATCTATTTCTTGTACGCTACTTATGGACTTTCATCAAAACACCTTAATTACAATGCTATAACTTTTCTATTGCTGCAGTTTAAGGATATTATCAAGTAACAGTCCTATTTCTACTTTATACTACCTATTTTTAAGCATCTAGACTCTATTTAAAAAAAAATTCACGTAATTTTCGTTTGGTTAACCTTTTCCGGCGTAGTGTGCAGTCTGGCAAAACTAATTCAACAAATTTTACAAATCGCTTTAAATGCAAAACTAATTGAAAAACTAAAAAAGAAATAAATTGTCTGTTTAATAATTGTAAATATGTTATCTAAGTATAGTTTTAAATATTTATAAAATGTTTCGTAGTATGTTAATATAAAATTACTCTATAATAAAGGAACATAACTTTAGCTAAGTGTTCAAGCGCATAGCATTTCGAAACACCACTAAGAAAGGATATGTTGATACACAATAAACAAGGAATTTACAATTTTTTTAAATTATGCTCTTGACAATCTGAATCTTAAGAAACCATTCAAAATGATTTTCTGGTCAATAAGAATAAGCAGACAATAAGACTTTTTTAGAGCATTATGTTACAAAGAGCAATTTATATGGATCAAAAAAATTGGCTAGGTTTCGTGAATTTCATCTGTTTAATTTTTCGCTTAAAAGTTATGTAATTTGAAAAGCTTCTATGAAAATTCTTAAGAGATTTTCTTCAATGCTTAAGAAAATTTTTATTAAATTTTGTTCAATGGCAAAATTTATAAAATTCCTCTTCAGTGCTAGGTATTGGTTTGATCACCCTTCTGGTCTCGAGACAACAGAATCTAAAACAAAAATCTCATTTAACTTGGTCGTTTTTTTTCGTGTATTATAAAATTAATCCTAAATTTAGAAACAATCTGTTTGATAAAATTTTGTAAACAGCTTCATTTTTCTCTATCTTCCAACCGAAAGAGTTTAAGTGCGGTGGTGATAGGAAATCTATACAATGCTTACCATAACCAGAGCCTGACAAAGGCAGGGGCACATGGGGCAGTTGCTCCGGGCCCCACACCAGAGGGGGGCCCCAAATTGAATAAAAAGTTTATTTTAGGTTTCCTTTTTTAAATGAACTTTTTTGGAACAAAATATCAGTACAGTGTAAAATGCGTCAATTTTATGTTAACTTCTTCATTAATCTATCGTATAAAAACAAAAAATCTATATTTCGTAAGTCCATGGCTTTCTAGTGCGGAATTCAGCAAAATTTTCGCAATTTCGATGGACAAATTTAGCCAATCAGAAGCCTGCATTTTTACATATCACAAAATGCGAAGTGTTTACAAAAATACAGGTTTCTGATTGGCTTAAGTGAGCCATCGTAATTGCGAAAATTTAGCTGAATTTCGCCCTACAGTCAGCAAGAATATGAATTTTTTGCAGCTAGATGACAAGGTTAACAATCAGAAAACTGCCTTCGGCATGATGGACATAGAATTGTCAGAAAATCAATAAAAAAATGGGCAGAACGTTATTTCGTCTGATTATTGGAGAGGGGGGGGGGGACTTTATAGCTATTTTATGTTCTTGTCAATTTTCTTG